GTATTTATTTAATAAGATTAATCTGTTTACTAACTTAGTATAAGTCTTAAAGTAATTTAATTTTAGATAGATTAAGTAGTTAGTAGTAATTAGTTTAAGATATTTGTGTATTTAATAAAATTGAGGTAATCTTGTTGCTTACTTAGTATAAGAATTAGAGTAATATAATTTTAGATAATGTAAGTAGTTCGTAATAATTAGTTTAAGATATTTGTATATTTAATAAAGTAACTGTATTACTAACTTAGTATAAGTCGTAGAGTAATATAATTATAGATAGATTTTAAGTATTATTAAAAGTAGGGACGTGTTATTATTTTTATTACGGTAACCTTTGTAATTTCGCAAAACATTGATGTAAATAAACATACGCTTTTTTTCTTCTGTAATTAGTAATATTAATATAAATATAAGTTCCTACCACGTCCCCACGACCGACACGCCAAATTACAGATTCCTGTAATTTCGTGTAATTTCGCGTAATTTCGCGTAATTTTTGGCGCTGCCACCTGGCATGAAACCTCAAAACTAAAGATAATAGCGATAATAATAACAATAATTTTGGGTTTTGGGGTTTCATGATGGGTGGCAGCACCGTAGCATTTGCAGGTCATTGGTAAACCAATATTTATGGAGCTCAAGTCCGGTATATTGGGTTAGGGGGCGGGCTTCAAGGGGGCCCCCTTCTAACCCATTTATCCAGCCCTACAAGCTTAAAACCTTTAAATAAAGAATCTTAAATAAAGAAAGAAAGAATCTTAAATAAAGAAAGAAAGAATCTTAAATAAAGAATCTTAAATAAAGAAAGAAAGAAAGAAAGAAAGAATCTTAAATAAAGGCTACAGGAATCTGTAATTTATTACAGGAATCTGCAATCCAAAATTGAAGTTTAGCTATCCAATCATAGATGGCGCCACCGAGTTCAAAGGTTTATAAAAATTTTTTACTTGGTTCATATTTATGTTCTAACCTTCCTTACAAGTTTCTATTACCTTGAACGTTGGATTCATATATCAGCATGAATATATAATTGTTAATTTTACAGGAAACTGTGACCTGGAATGTTAGATTCCTAGAGGATTACCTTTCTTATAGAAATATGTAATGCTTTTTACAGAAGTCTGTAAGGAAGCTTTTGCTACTGACCGCTAGAGGTCGCTTTGGAAAGCCGGAAATCTGCAATCCTTATTATTAAAATACGAGGGACATTCGTAAAGTATACGAAACTTATTAAGTTGGTTTTCAATGTTTTGTTTAAACAAATTACATTACTTCACTACAATAAATCGACTGTAATTGATAGAAAATTATTTATTACTCGCTTATGATGTACAGATGCTAACCCGTCAATTTTAAAGATTAGCTTGTTTTATTTTTCATCTCCTATGTGCAATTAAATGCAACCCAATATATTTTATGAAGGCAGGAAAAGAAGCCAGTTATCTATTATTTTCCCGCATTCATAAAATCTATTACATTGCAATTTGATGTTTATGTTATATATTAAAATATATTTATTGAGATCCGATAACAATAGTTAAATTACAATTACTTAAAATATGTTTAGACAATTGGTTTAAATAATGTTTCCAAACGTCACAAAAGCCTTCCAAAATGTAATTCATGAATATTAACAATGTTTAAAGGAAGTACCATACAGTTAAACGTGATTTAGTTTGAAGGGTTTTGCAAAATGGTATTTAAACGCAAATCTACTAAAACACTTTCCACTTATATTTTGAGATTAAAACGTTGAGCACCTAAATTATGAAATGCTTCTACATCCATGAAAAGCCTGGACCCTTGTTAGTTCCATCAGTAGTATTTGTGGGTCATACTACACGTAATCAAGTACTCTACAGCAGATTTTCGTAGGATGTTAACTGAAAAAAGAAATAATTAATGTACCCAAAATTAATTAAAGTTAGGGCAATACTATATCGAAATGTGACAATTTAGGAATAAATAAAAGCTAATAATTATTCAAATGAAATGTTTAGTAAATATTTTGAGGAAATTATATGAGTGGCTTTCGGAATAACTCTCCAGTTAATAATAGTAGAAATAAGAAAAATATTTTTAAATAGAATGAATATTAAGAAATGCTACAAAAAAAAAAACAGAAATCCTACAACTAATAATAAATAACGAATGAAATAATAAGAATTTTAAACACTAAGAAATTACCTCCTATTTTTATAGATATATGTTACTCCTGAAGGCAGATAAGCTGTAATTTTGTAATGTTACATGATTGTTTTGTTGTTTCATGAAAAACACTTCCAGTATACTTAAAAAGTTTGGGAGCTGATTAAAGTTTCGAAAAAGTATTGAAGATGTTCGTAAAATCATTCCTGATGCAAAGAATGTTTCTCTGAAGTAGGGACACAAAATTGAGTCAACGTCAATTGATACTGCGCCAAAAATGGTTCTGAGTCGCTGTTTCTTACCTGAAAAAATTAAATTTTGTTTAAAATTCAAATGGCGAGAACTGAGGACATTTTGTGGAAAATTTATCAATGCCTCTCTAGAGACTTGGTGAAGTTTGTTTGATAGATATATATTACTCCTGAAGGCAGAAAAGCTGTAATTTTCTAGTGTTACTTACATGAATATTTTGTTGTTTCATGTAAAAGCACTTCCAGTATACTTAAAAAGTTTGAGAGCTGATTGAAGTTTCGAAAAAGTATTGAAGATATTCATAAAATCATTCCTGTTGTGAAGCATGTTTCTGTGAAATAGGGACACAAAATTGAGTCAACGTCAATTGATGCTGAGCCAAAAATGGTTCTGAGAGTCGCTGTTTCTTGCCTGAAAAAAAAATAAATTTTGTTTAAAATTCTGATGGCAAGACCTGAGGACATTTTGTGGAAAATTTATCAATGCCTCTCTAGAGACTTGGTGAAGTTTGGTTGATAGATATATATTACTCCTGAAGGCAGAAAAGCTGTAATTTTCTAGTGTTACTTACATGATTATTTTGTTGTTTTAATTGTTGACGTATTGTTGCTGAAGTCGACCATTACAATTTTTTAATTGTTGACGTATTGTTGCTGAAGTCGGCCATTACAATTTTGTAATTGTTGACATATTGTTGCTGAAGTCGGCCATTACAATTTTTTAATTGTTGACGTATTGTTGTTGTTGGCCATTACAGTTTCTAATAAGCAAAGTTTTTGCGTATTTTCTAATTTCACGATTACAGATGTAATGTCTGTAACACAAAACTGAATAAAACACTCATCAAAGCTTAAAGCATTTTTATATTCAAAGGCCGTAATAAGTAATAAAAGAAGAATGATAATATTTGTTTACGTTGTTTAACAGGTGCATATGTGTGTGAAAAGATAACAAATGTGAACTGATAAGTAAACAATAGGAAACGTCGATTACAACATACAACATCAATTTTGGTCTTATGATTGCTGTTACAACACACAACATAACTCTAAAAATATTCAATTAGATAAGACAAGAATGGCAATAATTACTGCACCTTTTGAGATTGTTAAAACAGGAATTAATAATGCATTTGTTAGTAAAGAACCTTGGCAAATAGTAACCATAACAACTTCTACAGTTCTACTTTCAGTATGGCTTTACGAATTCATTTTTCAAGAAGAAAGTAAGTACATACCCACCCAATTTTTATTTACAAATTTTGTTAGTACCACGTAATTTATTTTCTGTTGTATACAGGTGTCATGGAAAGAACAAAAAAGACATTCTTCAAATTAGCGAAATTAGTTCCCTCTATTCGTTTAAAAATTGATTCAGAAATGGAAAGCGTAAGGAAATCTTTGTATAAAGATGTAGAAGAACGAGGAAAAGCCTTACATTACATAACTACTTTGCCTGAAAAAGGCTTTTCAAAAGAAGCAATAGTGAAGCTTACCGATGAAAATCTTGGCTTAAGTAATTCTTGTTCTTTCCATGTAGATTAACTTTTTGATTTTGGTTGGTTATTAGGTGATTATGACTGGGCACAAGGAAAAGTCTCTGGAACTGTTTACTACATGAGTAGCGAAATAAATTCACTTATAACAGATATATATTCAAAATCAGCATACACTAATCCTTTACACCTTGATATTTTTCCTGGAATTTGTAAAATGGAAGCAGAAGTGGTTCACATGACTGCTAATGCTTTTCATGGGGGCGCAAATGCTTGTGGAACAGTAAGATCCTTAATAGATTTTTATTATTTTATTATTTCTTAATTTAATTTTTAGATGACGTCTGGGGGCACAGAATCAATTTTAATGGCCTGTAAGGCTTTCAGGGATTTTGCACGAGAAGAAAAAGGGATCAAAAAACCAGAAATGGTACTTCCTAAGACTGCACATTCTGCTTTTGATAAAGCAGCACAGTACTTTAAGATAAAAGCCATCTATGTACCTGTTGATCCTGTTACTACTCAAGTAGACATTAATGCCATGGAAAAGGCTATTTCATGGAATACTATAATGGTAAATTCTAAAAATACATTTTTTTTTTCTGAAGTAATTTTGTATTTTATAGTTAGTAGGGTCAGCTCCCAACTTTCCGTATGGTACAATGGATGACATTGCAGCTATATCTGACTTGGGATTAAAATATAACATACCTGTACATGTTGACTCTTGCTTAGGGGGATTTCTTACTGCATTCATGCCTGATGCTGGATTTCCTGTGCCCATTTGCGACTTCCGCCTTCCTGGGGTAATGAGCATATCAGCGGACACCCACAAATACGGATTTACACCAAAGGGATCGTCGGTTGTGCTCTACAGAGAACCAAAGTAAGTAAAAAAACTTATATTTTGTACTTTAAATAATTTATTAAAAGTAGAAAAAAATTCTAAACGTAACATTAAAGGATAATTAATTTATATAATTAGTGTATTTCTGAAAAAGAAAATATATTCCCAAGATACAGTATGACACATAAGTTACAGTTAAATTTAAGGTATCGCCATCATCAGTATACAATTACAACAGACTGGCCTGGAGGTGTGTACGGATCACCAACTGTGGGTGGTTCTAGAGCAGGTGGTTCTATAGCAGTTTGTTGGGCCGTACTGCTCAGATTTGGCAAAGAGGGATACATTCGGGCAACGAGGGAAATTATTCACACAAGTCGATACATTGAAAAAGGGTAATAATTTAAACTTTAATTATTTTTTTTAAAGGAGTAAGTACATAAGTGTGTTGTTTAAAATAAAACTTGTAAAAACTATGAATTTAAGTTTCCAATTTTTGCGGTCCATTTGTTACGAAAATGAATCCTGATACTGATATATCAACGCACGTATGGCCAAGTTTTCGTCAATTTAGGGTGAGCAGCAGATAAAGTAATTAATTCTTTTAAACCAGACAATTTTAGATTTCATTTGGTAACTTATTATTTCCAATTGCACATTTGTAGAGGATCTTTTTGCCAATCTAAACCTAAAGGAATGCTTACTTTGTGAACTACATTAATGATTTTAAACACAAAATATTAGCATTGCTTTTAAAACGTGTATGAAAAAATACTTCTGTACATATTGTTTAACGAATAATGGACGTCATTTTAACAATGTTATCACTGCATGCGCTGTTTTTTTTTTGGTTTATTTATCTTGCTATTAATTCGTCTAAATTATTAAGTACGTCTTCACATTTTTATTTAAACTCAACAGGTTGAGGTCAATGAAAGGAATTTTTGTCTTTGGACAACCTGCAACAAGTGTTATAGCCATTGGATCGAATGATTTTGATATATACAGACTGTCATCTGCCCTCCTTAAATTGGGGTGGAATCTTAACAATTTACAGTATCCCTCAGCGTAAGAAATTGAAGGTAATAAGATACCGAATAATTGCTAATGCTTAATTGTATTTTGCAGAATTCATTTGGCTGTGACCTACTTACACACAAAAGGAGGAGTGGCTGATCAGTTTCTGAGTGATGTAAAGAATTCTTTGGCGATTATTCTTGAGAAACCAGAAAAGCGTGTGGAAGGAAAGGTAAGTTACCCTTTTTTAACGTTCCGTAAGAAAAAAGTAAAAGCTACCCTCAATATCTGTATGGGAAGACTGGTTTTAAAAATATCTTTATTTTCATTCCAAAGTTCATTGACTAGAATCTCTTTAAGGCACTTTTTTTATCAATTTCTGTATTTTTCAGTTGGCCATTTATGGAGTAGCGCAAGAAATACCAGATCGTTCAATCGTAAGAGACATTACCCGTTTGTTCCTTGATTCGATGTACTATATTCCGAATAATAAAGAAAATAAGAACGATAACACTCAATGAATATATTACTTGGGTAATACTAGTATTACAATTTGTACATAGTAACCAAATGCAGTGTACTTAGGTGTTTACATAATAATATAAATAAATATTTTTATCAGTGTTGCGGTTTTCTTATTTTCTATTCCTATTATTATATTACAGTGTTTAACACACATTCGCTACTTTGTTTACAAATTTTAAAAATTCTTACCCTGTTTTACAAGCAAATATATTTTAATTTAATTTATAATATTAAAAGTGTAAAAATAGTCTAGTATTTGTCTTTTTACAAAAATAAAGTTATTTCGTCACATTAACATCAGACTTTACCTTGAAATTTCAGTTAATTAATAATCGTAAGACATTCTTATCGCATATTAACATAAATATATTCAAAAATAAGTAATAAATAACGATAAAAAAACATTCAATTTTAATTAAATGAAACATTTTATTTCACCTGTGCATTGAAGCGATTTTTAGTAATCCTTTTGCTATTTTTATCTATTATGTAATAAGTGCAAACATTGGAAAATTACTCAATGCTGTATATTATTTAAAGCTGGCAAACCGAATAATGTTGGATCGAAATCCGTCAGCGACTTTAATACCAGAGTGGCTGGCTTTTTGAGTTCATCTTGAATATCAGCAGCAGGTACCATTACTACTTGCATCCCTGCTGTTTTAGCACCTATAACTCCATTAGGAGCGTCTTCAAAAACCAAACACTAAAATTTATATTAAAAAAAAATATAAAAATGTCAGGAAATATTAATTTTTTAATATAGATTTTCTGAGAATTACTTATTCTTTTAATTTAATAGATTTTATTTTAAAGTTTAAAAGTAATAAATACCTAACTACTTGGTCCTATTTTAATGATTATTTCGCATTATTGTTACTGCATAATCTATTTAAATTGTCAAGGCAGAGAAAACCAAGCAAATTCATTATGAGCATGCAGATAATTAAATAAAATGTATATTTGTTTCACATTTTTTGGGTCTAGCTGTACATATATTTTCGTAATTTTAATTCTTGTACAGCATAACACAAAAATAATGCGAGGAACTTTTTATACAAATTGATGAATAAAATACCTCTTCTGGTTTAGGATTATCGGGAAATCTAGAAGCAGCTACCAAATAAATATCTGGAGCAGGTTTGCCTCTTTTAACTTCGGGATCAGACGATCCCATAACTTTATGATGAAACAGAGAAAATAAATTCTCATAATTTTGTAATTTTATGGAACAAGCCTCTGTGGACGATGATGTAGCTAAACATATAGGTACATTGTGCTCATGAAAATGCCTAATGAGTTTTTCAGCACCTTAAAAAATTATATGAGTTGTAACTTTTTACTATTCTATGCTCCACTTTACCATCCTATGCTAAAATGTATTATTTTATTTACCAGGTAAAAGTGGTGGGTTTTTCAGTTTTTCCGCAACCCCTCTTTTATATTGTTCTAAAAATTCATCTGTACTGATAGGGAGCTTTAGTTCTTCCACTACAAGTTTTGCTGTAATCGGTTCTGGAGTCCCCAAAACTTTCATTCTTGCTTCGAAGGTATACTCTTTGCCATATTTTTTGGCAATTTCGCCAATAATTTCATCATACATTCCCTCAGAATCTTAAAATATTAATAATTAAAAGCAAAATAATGAATAAATGAGAATATTACTTAACTTACCAATTAAAAGTCCGTCCAAATCAAAAATAACGTGTGTTACTTTCTTAAAACTCATTTTAATTAATTTTTTGTTTTTTTTATATATTTTTTTACAAATTTAACAACCGAAACCGAGTATGTCACCCTTTAAAGCAACCTTCAAAAATAATATCGATCAGACAACCCGATCTAGATGGTAAAATCGCTGTGTGCGTAATGTATTATGTATGTTTTATATATAGAACAGATCATGGAAAAGACTATGTACAATTAACCAATACTGTACAATATAATTGTGTATGTTGTACATGATTAACTTATCGCACCTAATAATACAAAATTGTTCGTAATAAGACTGACAGCATAACTGTTTTCCTTTTAATTATCACTTGCTGTGACAGAGCGATTGCAGATTACGCGATAGTTTTTTTTCTACACTGTAATACTGAATCGGAAAGTTACACAACTTTTTATCTATTTGGTTCCGCTAAAATTTACTGACGTAGGTAATGTATTACATATATCATTCAGGGCCTTTCACATTAGACACTGTCTTAAGCGGAATATAAAATTAATGTAAGTAAAAAATAAAGTTTTTAATAAAGGATGTTTTTTATTGAGACGCTCTAAAAAGCGGGAAATAAATAAGATAATAATAAAAAGCATCTAACAAAAACAAGAATATGAAATATATATTATATACATCTCAAATGATAACCATGTAATATTCAGCGCATGTTTAAATAGAATATGCAATAATACCTATATGCGCAACGCATGTACTTAATCGACCACACTAAAAATAAAATAGTTATGTTAAATTAATATACTTATAGGTCTAACATATTATGACTATTTATAACTTTTAAAAAAGATAAATTTTTATGAATATTCAGTGTATTTCTGTTTTTTAGCTAATATGTACCTATTTTGCGTGCAACCTACATACACCGAGTGTTTTAAATAATTCGCCAAAAGAAAACAACTTTATATTTCAAATTCATGAAATAAACATGGCTCAAAAATAATTTTTAGATGCATATGTAATTGCATTTAATCTCTTGTAAACTTTTTAGTAATGTTTAACGAGTCCTAAAGTACTATTAAATTTTATTATTTATTTAATAATTGTGTATCGTCAATAATGCTTTTTACAAATAATTTTATCCCAGATGTTATTCTAAAATTAATAATTTTGTTGTAAAAATTATTCTGTATTGAATAATAAAAACTTTTGTATAGGTTATGTAGTTGTTTTGGCAATGTCACTTGTAATCTTTAAAATAACTAGAAAGTCGTGCAGATTGTACTTTCCTATTGACTTTAAATAGCTTTTTTTTAACAATAACACATATTTTGAAATGTACAGATACCATGTCTTTGAAGTATAAAACATTATTAAAAAATATACCACTTGTGTGTCTTGGAAACAGAAACATAGGAACTGTTATTAAGAGATCAAGCAAACATTTGTCGACAACAAGTACTAAAGATCAGATAAGGAATCAAGATGATTCTATGTATGTGTTTGATCGAAAAACTAAGACGTTACAAAGAAAAAGGGCTGCTGAAGCAAAAGATGTTGATCTATATGACTACATCAAAGATGAAGTTGGATTTAGACTAGCAGATCGAATTTTTGACATTAAAAGAAAATTTAAATTGGCTGCTGATATAGGTTTGTCTTTCATTACTAATGTACTGTTGTTTTATCAGTTTTAATTGAAGGATGTAGTAGAGGATATGTATCAAAGCATATACCACCCGAATTTGTAGAAGAAATTATTCTTTGTGACACTAATCAAGCTAATTTAGATGCTATTCAACTACACAGTGGTCTTAAATATAAGAAACAGATCCTTGATGAAGAACATATTGAGGTAGTTGATTCATAAATACATTAATTAATAAACAGTTACAAAACTGGTAAAAGAGTATGTACGTCTACTCTAAATTGGAAAAGTTTCCATTAGGATGTTTTTTATAATGTTTATTTTTATTAAAAATCTTTAATTTAGTTTGAACCAAACTCTTTGGATCTAGTGGTGTCCAGTTTAAGCTTGCACTGGGTCAATGACTTACCAGGAGCTTTCAAGAGAATCCTACAAGCTCTAAAGCAAGATGGTGTATTGCTTGCAGCAGTCTTTGGTGGAGATACTTTGTATGAATTACGTTCATCATTACAACTTGCAGAGATGGAAAGGAAAGGCGGTATATCACCTCATATATCCCCTTTCACCGAAATTAGGGACATAGGAAACCTGATGAGCAGAGCAGGATTTGCTATGCTCACAATAGACACAGATGAATTAATTATTAATTATCCAAGTATGTTTGAACTTATGTGGGACTTGAAAGGCGAGTTTAATAAGAATCAGGAATTAATAGTTTTTTGAATAAAATTTTGATTTTAGGTATGGCAGAAAATAATGCTGCATTAAATAGAAGTCTTCATCTAAATAGGGATACACAATTTGCAGCATCAGCAATATATCAAGAAATGTATGGAAAATATGATAGAGAAACTAATGAAAGCAATGTGCCAGCAACTTTTCAAGTAAATCAGTTTTTATTGTAATACAATATTCTGATTTTTATTTTTTTTTCAATTAGATTATTTATATGGTGGGTTGGAAACCAGACCCCACACAGCCAAAACCTTCAGAAAGAGGATCTGGTGAAGTTTCATTAAAAGACTTGCATAGACTTGATGAAATTGTCAAAGACATTAAAAAATTTAAGCAAGATTAGTTGTCTAAATGTATTTAGAGTATATACATTAAGTTTATAAGTTGAAAATAAATATTGTTTTAAACTACAATTGTTAGTTTTATTGAAGGCTGAGTTATAATTTGAGCTCGTCTTAAAATCAACGGAATTGTTGGAAATAAAGGCTTTTTATAAATTAAAACAAATTAATTCTAAGCAAAAAAAATGTGAAAATAATCTTTAAATGTTTTACAGATTACTTTTCATGTTACATTAAACCAATTTTTGATAAAGTAGTTTTTAATTATGTAATCATTATTTCCAAAACTTCACTTTGAACATGCTGTACAAATTTAACAAATATTTTCTTCACTAAATGATTACTAGTGAGGTTTAGGTACATGCCCATCAACGTAAAAATTTCTGGTTGCTTTTGGCAATTCTAATTCTATACCATTTAGCTCTTTTGTTAAAATAATTTGACACCCTAATCTAGAGTTTTCTTTTAAAAATGGGGCTAAATCTAACAAATCTTCCTCAGTTTCTGAGGCTTCTGGTAATTTATCTTGAAAATTTCTGTGAACATATACATGACATGTTGTGCATGCTAAAGAAGCTTCACAAGCACCTTCCATGGGAATATCATATCGATGTGCTAAATATAAAACATTATCCCCTATTTTACCACGTACAGGAACTTTTTCTCCATTACTTAAGATAAACGTTATATTAACACTGAAATATATTTTGTAAAGGTAAAGTAAATAAAATTCATCTTAAATAACACTCACACTTCATCTTCAGATTTCGGGTCTTGATGTTCATATTCTCCATGACATAGCCCTGAAATCTTTACATTGCCTATTAAAAATTAATGGCTTTTGTATAACTTACTAGCAGAATTACTCAGAGTTCTCTGAATAATCATTTTAGGCACAATACATTCGTTTGTTAAAGTACTTATTCGATTAAATGATCTTAGAATATTCATCATAAGTCGTACTTTTTTAACATTTTTTAAAAACTATTTCGAATAAAATATTTGTTCTTTTATAATTAAAATAAAATACCTACTTAGTTATATTTAAATTTTGTTAAATTACAACTTATACTTTGCTATATTTGTAGAAGTTTTAAAGGTTATGGTCTACCCATAGATAGTACTCCCCATAGATAAGGTTCTATCCAATCCATACGAACTACTTTGTAGATGTAGTTCACATGATTCTTATAAAGCCCTGCTCATAGAGATAAATTTTAAATGTGCATTGCACTTTTAACAAAAATTAATAAATACAAAATCGAAGACAATAAATTTAACGTAATTCTCGTATTATTCGTTTTACAATTCTGACTTTTCTAGTACAGAAACGAAACAAAACTAAATCATTTTTCTTCATTGTTTTGACTTGTGAACAGCCCTTACTGTTTTGTTGATGTGTTTGAACTTTTCCATAGAAAAGTAAGTTGAACTAAACGATATAAATAAATCTCCTGTTTTATTATTGTTTTTGTTAAGTATTGCTATAAAAGAAAGATTATTTAAAGTTATCTAAAAATCGATATCATTTTAATATATTACCAAGGTTTCTTTGTATTAAATTGAATATGTGAAAGGTGAAATAGTGGGAAATAACCTGAATCAAGGCCATTTGGTGTTCGGTCATCCATATCTATCATTTTTTAATAAAAGTTTTAAATATAATGAATGAAATACTATGAAGACGCGTCGTGTGTACTAAATAAGGAACGATAAATATTGACGTACAAGTTGTACAAAATTATGTAAACTAGTCCGTGTTTCGTCAACAAAATTCGCTAAATTTAATATAAACTATTGTGTTTATTAGTTAATAAAGTGTTATTGCTAAACAAGTGGTTACAATTATTAAATCAACTCAAATGTGGTACAAGAAGTGCCTGTATGTTCTTAAAAATCGTAGCAACAGTAATTTGCAAAGCCCTAATATATTTTCTTGGATTTTTTAAAATGGGAAATAGGAACAGTGTAACTAACAATAAAACAATGGATCCTTACAAGTTTAAAATATTTCAATTCGAAATTGTTAAACCTAACAGAAGCAATGGTATACCTTTGCCAAGAAGTGGACATAGGATTGTATCTGACTCTGCCAATTTATACTCTTTTGGAGGATATAATCCTCTGATACTCAACGAGGAAGGCTCAAGAGATGAAGATGATTTTGCTGTGAATTCATATCCATTATTTCAAGAACTTTGGAAATTTAATTTTGCTTCCAAAAATTGGAAACGGTACAACAGTCGTCAAACTTTACCTCAGGAACTTGCCTCCAATGCAGTTATACGTGAAGGAAATTTTTTGATGGTATATTCATGTGTAAGAAGTTTTATTTAGCATGAGGCCTCTTAGTTAATTTGGTGTAGTGGATTAGTTTTTAAAATTTACATAATTAACCCCTAAATGCTTAAGTTAGAAATTTTATCTTGATTAAATTTGGTTTAACATATAAACGTTATAAAAGCATGGTTGCAGGTCTTTGGGGGCACTGGTTCTCCTTTTGGCTATCGCTGTAGCAATCAACTCTACATATGCCGCCTGAATGATGAAACAGGGGAAATGTTTGAAGTAACTACAACAGGACAACTTCCACTGCCTCAATATGGTCAAGCCCTACTTCATCATAACAATTATCTGTACACTATTGGGGGAACTACTGGATTCTCTTATACTTGTGATATCCATAGGTACAACTTTTACATTAAATGTGTGTTTTGTTTTTTTTTATTTTTAAAATTACAGGCTACACATAGGCAAGAAAGTGTGGGAAAATATTTACATTTGCCAAGGACAGTCTGATTTGGAACCAGTTGGTAGATATCGTCACGAAATTGCCTTTGATGGCAAGAATATATACATTTTAGGCGGTGGAACAGCAGATGAGGCTTTTGATTTTTATGAAATCCCTGTCTTTAACATAGAGACTAGACAGTGGCAAAAAATTAGGACTAAACGAGACCCACAGAGTAAGCATTTTTTTAAATTCTTTAATTTGACAATTGATTCAGGTCAAAGGTATTTGGTGCATTTGCCTTAGGTTAATTTATCCTTATATTGGTATACTACTGGTTATATTGCATTATTAAATTTTAATATGAATTAATAATAGGCCTAAATAAGCCAATTTTTTAATAATTCCATCATACTTTTTTAATACATAGGTATGTTTGATTTTTAAAATATACATAGACATGGAACAATGTAAATGCTACTTATTATCATCAATAACTAAATAAACGTCACATAGTTCAATTAATTTTTCTATCTTAATGAATATATCAAAGAAACAACTTTTTAACAATTTCGAATTATAGTATTATAAAGAAATGTTTATGTCAACCATTTTTTTTATAATACCACAATTAGAAATTGTGTTAATATATCTTAAGGAAATAAAAATTGATTGAAGTTTGCAAAATTTTTTTAATTATTGATGATAATGAATAGCTTTATCATTGTTTCATTCATATACATATCATAAACATTTAAATATGTATAAAGCATGACAAAATTATTTTTAAATTGACTTATTTAGGCCTACATATTTAATTTTCTGTAACTCGTGTCCACTAACTTACTCTGTTTTAAGAATAATAATAAAACAAACTACTTCTTATCCCCTATCAGTCACTGTGAGGTCGAACTGTTAGTACCATTGCTTCGAGTGTTCGAAATTCACATTTGTGAACAATTTGTTTAATCACTTTTTGTGTTAAAAATTGTTTGAAAAATTAAATTTAAAGGAATTGTTTGTAAACAGGTATGCAACACATCGTACACTTCAGCATAACAAATTGCTGATACTAACGACGTAATACTACTTTGCCCTGTGCTGACAGCACTCATAATTTCTTTTATATATGATATTAATATGGTAATGTAGTAGTTTAATACAGTATTTTATTCACAGCTAGGGCTCATTCCCCTTATCGCTACGTGGGGGTGCCATTACCTCGAAGGTGCCACGGGGCAGTTCAAATTCAAACCGAAAATGATATTCACGTGTTCGTTACGGGGGGTTACGACGGTGATTTGGTGTTCGACGACCTGTGGCGTCTTGAATTGTCAACGATGCAGTGGCGTCTAATTGAGAGATGCACGTTACCGTGGCCTACGTATTTTCATAGCGCGAGTGTGACACCCGAGGGTAAGTTGTACGTGTTCGGAGGCATTTACGCCGATGAAAATATTCGGAGAAATAACGACATTGTGTCCACATGGCTGTGTATACCGAAATTGAGCGAGATGTGTTGGGAGGCGCTCTTACATTACTATCCGAAAATCGTCAATTGTCCGAAAAATAAACTTATCAACGCTGGATTGCCACGGCATTTCGTGCAGCGCCTTGAATAAGAAAATTAACATTAACATTTTGGAATTTTCGTAGAAAATCGAGAAGTGGAAGGTTACTATCAATATTTTGTGATTGCAAGTGATGGAGGATAATTACATACCAAAATCCGGCGTAGATTTTTTTGTTGGATCAAATCTCCTACATAGAAAAGTTTATTCGACAGATATTATTTTAAAATGACCCCTCCTCTAATTAAAAATTATTGTTTTCTTTCGTTTTCAATTTTATTAAATGAGTGTTAGAATCGCTTAGTAATGGCTTTGTATTGAACCAAAAAGTTTTGGAAATTTTATAAAATAGTTATACGATTAAAAGGAACATAATTGTCGAAATAAAATCAGCTTTATATCCGAAAGTAGTTGTCTACCATGTAAATATTGTGATTGGAGTTTTGTAAATAAATATCTAATATGGGTGCGACAAAACAGTAAGAAATAAAGTAGTAGCATGTTGATTAATTTTCAAAAAATGGTATATATTACAATAGCAGTTTTACTTTAATAATGTGTCAAATTGGTGATTGTTGCTGTGATAAATTTTAATTCAACGTAATTTTTTGTACTATTAATTCGCACTTCACTATTGTCACAATTAGAGCCTGTAAAACAGGCCATTTTTCGGTCATAATATATCTTGCTTGCTTAGCTTTAATATGAAAAACTGTGAAAACTGCTTAATTGGAAAGTATATGAAGTTTCAGTAAAAAATCTCTTATTAATAAGAAATCGTAAACACAGCTATAAAATTAAAAACAACCATACAGTTGCTGTTTTCTTTTAAATTTGACTGAAAATATTTCCAAAAAGATTACTTGCTTGTATCTATTATAGATGTCAGTTGTATTATGCTTTTCTTTTAAGACACTAGTTGGGCAAACCTAAGATAACTGTTACTGGAACTAGAACTCATATTTTTTATGCAAATTATTAATACTAACCATTTTATTCCTAAATAGACCAAAAGTTGTAAAAAAAGTGTATTGAATATTATTTTTCCTTGTCAATAGTCCAACCTTTAATTTAATTGCTTTAGGAATAAGAGTGTTAGCATAGTAACTTACACAAAAAATATGAGACTTTCAACCACACGGTAGATTACCCATGTTAGTATAGCTAGGACCTTTTTTTTTAACTATCCACATATAAAAGAATAAAAACCTTTTCGTGCCTTGAGTACAGGTTGAATGATAAAATAGCTGTCTAATATAATTTCACATTTCATGTGATTAAAAAATGTTCTATCTATATCAAATGATAACAAGATGTACAATTAAACGCGAATTTTAAGTTAAAATTAATATTTATTTGAATTTGAATTATAAATAAATACGTTTTTATGTGTACTTTCTTTCCATCCAAAACATTGAATAATATAAGTAAGCAAGACTTATATTAAAAGTTGTAATAGATTTCAAAGATATTTTTATTTACAAAATTTCTGTCTAGCTCATATCTATTATACAAACGTATGTAATGATTACTACTTTTTAACAAGAGAAAGGAAATTAATCTCCTTGCATTCGTTTATTTTCTTCTGCAAGTTGTCTTGTCAATCTGTGATATTTACCCAACACAGGTCTGTAGTAGTACACATTGTAATCTAATCTTTCTTTAATTTTTTCTTTCATTTTATTATCAATTCGACGAAGTTTCCTTTTCTCATCTTCTTCAAACAGTAAGTGTAAATATTTTTCATAATCTTGCTGGGGATTGTTAAAGATATAACGAGCAAAGAATCGAGTAACTGGACTCTACAATTGAATATGCTTATGAATAAAAATCATGAATGTATTACTGTATAAAAAACTGACCCTGTAATATTCCCAGTGGTAGGGTACATAACCGGAAGGAATTTCGCTTAAAGTTGCAGGGCCAATAAAAATATTTGCATAAAGCGTTATAAGACTTAAAGGAATCACCCCCAACATAACATAAAGATGTAAATAATCTTTAAATTTATGCCATTGCCACCTTGAAGGTTGTAAAGGAAAGACATGGTGATCCCCAGCTTTTCGTTTAGCTAAAAGTTTAAAAAGTAATTGCAATAAAAAATTACTATCAATGAATTTTTCAGAAATCAGATATATTTGATATTTTATTTAATATTTAAATGGATTATGTAATACATAACCTTACCTAATTCTTGAAGGATTTTTGAATTATTTTGAAATAGCTTGTTTCGTAATGAGCTCCACACTACCATGTTTACTCAAGTTTTAAGCTGTTGTTGTCTATTATGTTTATTATATTTAAATAACTAATTTTGCCATATTTATTTAAAAATGCACATTTGAGTACAACGTCTGTTTAATTATAAATATGACATTTATGACATATGACATGATCATAGATAATTATCGTCATCGGTTAAGTTCAAGTTGCTTTCAACTTACAGATCTCTACAAGTTAGCGGGTTCACTAAATGATCACAACTATTTTGTCTTTAGCGGTTAATTTAAAAGATTTGTTGTTCGGAATACATATGATAAGTTCGTAAAATCCCTTATTTTTTACTGAAGAATTCGTAATTGGTTCATTACAAGTTGTTTTTGTAATATTTGTTCTGTAATATATTGTTTTACCCATAATAAAAGTAATTATAGCAGTTTTAAAGATAATAAAGTTAAATAAGAACAGTAAACTATAGTAGGTACTTTGAAAAAAAAATTAATAACCTTTAACGCACTATTTTGTAATAATTTTTATGTTAATTATTTACGTTTATGTATACATACGTATTTTAATCGTTTAATAGTTGACAGCAATTAGGAAGTACTGTTTGCGCGAAGGTCGTAGGTACATGTACCATAATATAATCAACTAAACATCTCTACATTCATTAAAGAGTGCGGACGATTGGTCACAGCATTTTCGTGAATTTTTTGCGTGCAAGGATGGAGTTCTTATGAACGAGCATTATGTGTATATATGGTCACGAGTGGTATCAAATGAAAGGTATACGTGAGTCTAAATGTGCAGAAAATTCGAAAACATTGAAAAGTTAATTGTGACAATGAGTAAGGCGTCAGGAATGTAGAGTATACCCTTAAACTTTAATAAAAAAATTGAAAATCGAATAGAGAAAATTTTAACATTTATTAAAGCCAGCTACCCATTACACATGCATCACTTCATTAAAAACATTTTAATAGTACAATAACTACCAAATTATCTAAAAATCGTAAATAATAACAAAAACTGGAGTAGTATTTAAAATTAATAATTAAAGCAAAAAGAAGTGTAACTATAATTTAGAGGGAAAATTTTTAAGCCTTTCTCGTAATAATCTACGCAAAATTTTCCCACTGGGATTCCGTGGTATTTGATCAATAAAATAAACTCCTCCTCTAAGTTTTTTATAATTGGAAACTTTATCTGAAACAATTATTATGTACTTAATATTAAATAGTCTAACACATTTGTAAAAATGTTATTTTCTTCTAATTTAAAAGAATTTCTTTGGTAATTGTTTACTACATGGGACCCACTGTCGGAGGGGAAAGAAAACGTGGAGGGAATAGGACTTCATATAACACTAAAAAGGTGTTTTTAGGTGGGGACGGAGACGCGTGCCTTTTGAATTTTAAATACTTATTAAAAAGGTAGTTTTTACCTGCTACAAAATTCTCAATTTCTTTGGCAGTCACTTTAGCATTTTTTCTTTTAGTTACAAAAGCAACAGGTAATTCCCCGGCTTCTTCGTTTGGCAAACCTACGACAGCCGCATCTGTTATAGCAGGATGGGTTAACAAAAGTGCTTCTAATTCAGCGGGAGCCACCTGTGAATTTTTTTCTAATAAAATTCCTTCTAACACCTTATTAATTCTGTATTCTTCCTACCAATTTAGTTATTACTTAGTATCTCGATAATTAAAATTTTCATTGTTTATAATCAATCTCACTTTCTTTTTTTTTTTAATTCAATAATTGGAACATTCAACTTTTAATAGTTAACTAAGTAGTCAATTTTTATAATTTGAATAGAAAAATTAAAAAGTCTAATGTTGAATATATCCTATAAATGTACGTTATATTGAAATCAATTAAAACAAGAATAAAAACAATGAATTTTTAAATTACATTATTTTCAGTGCTTTTCGAAATTTGTGAAACATAAATTTTTTTATAAATGGTATTTATTCTTACTTGGAATCCCTTGTACTTTATCAGTTCCTTAACTCTATCAACAATAAAAAAATAGCCATCCTCATCATAATAACCAATATCCCCCGAATGTAACCATCCATCCTTATCTAGCATGGTATGCGTTGATTCGGGATCGCCAATATATCCCTTCATAATTATAGGACCCTTAAAACATAATTCGCCCTCCTGCCTTGGACCCAAGGCTTTACCTGATTCGTCTATAACCTGATTAAATGAATGATTCAATTTTTAAGAATTAAACACAAAATTAATTAATTACTTAACTCATTCAAAATAGCCAGTCCTTTTTGTAGGAAATAAACAAAAGAATTGACTATAAAAAAATGAAAGGGTTTTTATTGAAGATGATGGGAATATATAAAAGGCATGTCCTTTTTAGGGTTCCGCATCTCAAAAAAAAAAAAAAAAACAAATTTGGACCCAAGGAAAAAGTTTAAAAAGAAGAATTTCAAATTCGTCTGCCTTTTTATCAGTCTAAAGTATCACGAATTAAAAATCTGTAGAACATTATTGGTTACGTCTAGGCATTTAAATTTCAGCTGAAGAAAGGTCTTTCGAGAAAAATAAAGAAAAAGGTCTAAATTGATCTGATCGTCAAATTTGAACTGAAGAGAAATCTTTTGACGATTAGAATCTGTAGGACAATTCTAGTTACGCTAGGACCTTCCTTCAAATTTAGCTTAAAGGAATACCTTATGGTAGAAATACAGGGACAGGTCAATATTTCGAATTAGACTATCTTTCTATGCGTCAAAACTATATATATTAAATAATTTACCACTAAAAATAAATTCGAAAAGACTGGCTATTATCGTATGAAATATTTATATTAGTAACCTTTGCTTGCATTCCAGGTAACACTCGTCCTACAGAACCCACTTTTTTGTTGCCCACCGGATTCATAAGAACCCCTAATGTTGTTTCAGTTAAACCATAAGCTTGGGCAAAATGATCCAATTTATACCTGTTAATGTTTCATTATTCCTACAATTGTGGTTTATGTTATTTCTTGAACTGGTTAATTACCTTTTAGTTGTCATAATTTCCAGTTCTTTCGAAAGTGGAGCAGCTCCACAAATAATTGATTTAACGCTGGATAAATCGTATTTTTTTGCTAAAGAACTTTTGTTAAGAAACAAAACGATCGGTGGAGGCATAGAAAGAGAGGTTACCTGTTAAAGGAGTAGATAAACTCATCATATACATATACAAAAAAATAATAATCATTTACGAACCTTGTATTTTTGTATGCATTCTAGGTATAGTTTGGGATTAAATTTTTTTAATACAATAAATTTTGTACCCTTGAGAAGGGACAGGAACATGAACATGAAACCCATTGAATGAAAAAATGGAATAACACCAATTGTAGTTTCTTCATTATTGATATCATCATTATGGCTAATAAATTCTCTATAAAAATAGAACCTATTTGTTGTAGATATCTACTAAAATGCATTTATGAAGTATACTTCGTTTACTTTCTGTAGCGATGTGACCTTCAGTTTGACCAGCGCAAAGTAGAAAAGAACAACACCAGGCCAGAAAAGGAACAACTCTCTTAACCGGTGAGGAGCGTATAATCCGTACAGTACTGCACGGAAAAATTGACCATTTTATCCACTAAAATTGCATTGCTTAAATGTGCTGTTTTTAGTACCGTTTACTACTGAAAATATCAACGAGATGTTGATTTATATTTGAAGATATATTAAAGGCTTTAACGCTTGTTTTCGACTCGCACTACTATTCAAAAGTATGTTTAATGAACAGGAGTCGAGAGTATAATGAGCTTTTTTTCTCCCTACCTACGATTTTGCCAGCGCGCATCCAAGACATTGGAAGGGGCACATCGCTAGAGAAAGTAAATGAAGTATATATTGGAATCTCTTCTCAGGCATGAGGGACTAGTTTGAGATATATTAGAAACAGAAATAGGAGATAAGAGATACATCTAGATTAGATTACTGTTCACAAATAGTTATGGGTGTGGAATGTTCTAGTTTAAGGATGGGATAAAAATGAGTAATGATATGAAACTTACTTTGAAATGATGGTCCAAACTAGCATATTGTAATGTGTACATAAAACCCCTTTTGGCAAACCTGTTGTGCCCGAAGAGCATAAGATTGTTGCAACCGTTTCTTTGGTATCAAAAGTCTTGCACTTAAAACTATCATCCGCTTTTCCATCATTCGCCCCTTAATGAAAATAACTGGTCAATAATATTGATCGAAAGTAGTATTGTTTATTTATTAAGATGGTTTTATCGCATTAACTGTTTTGCTGTGCATAATAAAACATTTAGAAAATAACAAACCATGTTATGTTTATGATGAAATGACCCAGTCTGTGATTGATTACAATTAATTTCTTACCCTTGGTAATATCAGTAAAGTAAGTAATATTTTTCTGTCGTGTCTTTTCTTTATCAAAAAGAACAATATGTTTTATAAATTGATTTGTTTGGGATAAATCCAAAATTTTCTTTAATGAAGATACAGAACAAAATATCACTTTAGGTTTCGATAGGTCAATACAATGTTGTAATTCTCCTAAAAACAGTTTTATAAGAGTAAAAAGGAAATATACCGAAAATGGGAACTCTTTACGTGAGTTGTACTCTGGATTAATCGGAGCAAAGCTAATCCCATTAAAAAACGTAGCGACTGGCACAGAAACAAATTCTAGACGATTTTCACTGCAAATTGATACAGCATCCCCTACTTGCAACCCTATCGAATCAAACCATCTAGCGATTGCAATAGCTCTATTTAGTATCAAGTTTGTTCTTAGTTCTTGGTTTATTATGGGATCAATCTGCAATTTTAATGTCGAGGGAAATGATAAACTATGACATTAATGCAATTATGTACGAAAAAGTTGTTCCCCTTTTCTTTAAATTTATGGTATTACTGGAAACTACTTCAAAATCGGAATTGGTAAAGCAGGAACGTAGGACGTTACATAAGCAAAGGGTGGGTCACACCCTTGTAGACTTAAAGTCCCATATAACTCAAGACGTCTCGAGTTCCCTAATAATGACAATATAAAACCACAAGTTTATAACTTCACATAATTCAAAACGCTTATATTACGCACTTCCTCCCCTGGTGCATACGATGTTTTGTCACCTCCTGAAGAGGAAGTGAAATTTTTCTCGGGTAAGTAATTTAGAAGTCATATTCATCAAATCAAAAATTGCCGATTTGTACAAAGTAATAAAAAACATTAAATAAAAATGTCGCATAATTTTGTAAACGTCTTGGGTTTTGTGAGGTTTATGCTTGCGATTTTAAATTTTACGTTTTATTGGTACAAGTCAATATTCAGGATGAGCCAGCACATGATTTTTGGTCCACCCGAACTCATCTGTAACCTTCGTCTCTGTGGTACAGTAATTTCGAAAGTGGCGACAATGAACTTTTTTAAATAAGATAGCAAATGATTACTTGATGATTTAACATATACGTAACAGCCAATCAAATTCTTTGCAGTGTAATATAACAACTGCACCATGCAGATACAAGTTAGTCACTTATGGTACCTAGTGGGGATAGGGATTGCAACCTACGAGCGTTTCAAATCCAATTGGAATTTTGCTGGACCAACATAATTTCAGCTGGATCCAGAAGTTTATTAATTTTTCAAAGGAATAAAACTAGTTTTTCTTTTAATACTGAAGAAACTTTAATGTTAGACTGATTATTATTTACTACAAATCAACAAAACTTCTTACACATTTACGTAGTAAAATTAACTTTCGTTTGGTTTTTGGTTTAACATTTAAAACCGAAACAATGAACTTTGAAAGTAATTTTAAGTAATATAATGTAATCTATAAAAATCCCGTATCGCATCGCTGGATGCAAGATCTTGTGCTGGATACAGCAAGCAAAAAAATTAGCTGGATCCAGATGGATTGGTGTTTGCAGTATACAGAAATTGCAATCTCCTCACTTAGGGATTCGATAAGAAATAGGCGAAATAAGTCGGTAGGACGACTTATCAGACATGAAGGGGGTCAGTTAGAAAAATATTAGAACCAGAAATAGGAGTTAAGAAGGACAGAGGTAGAACTAAATTGGATTATTGATCACAAATAGGAATATGGGATGCTTTAGTTTTATGGAAATGCGAAGATTGACTTAGGATATGAAAGAGTGTAAGTGCGTGACCAACCAGTATGATGATGAAGATGAGTTATTTTGAACCTTCATAAATACAAAAATAAGAACTACAGTTTATTAAAATGAGTAGTATAATTTAGTAATGACTATTGTATGTAAAAGTGACTTTTGACATCACAGCTTGATAAATAAATATTCAAATTGAAATCCCAAGGTTACGATTCAACTTGTTATTAAATAGTATTGCCTTACTCAATAAATATTTAAAGTTAATAATTGGAAATCGTAAATAGTTTATCTTGTTCAGTTTATCACAGGGAGTAAGACTTTTATTGCGAATATACGTACACTATGTAGGTATTACAGTATCTTTTATTGCAAGGATTATTTAGAAAACTGTTTAAAATAAAGTTGAACTGTACAATATTATAGAATCCCTGACTTTATTACAGCACATGTACTACGTGACGAACATGAATTAAGATAAAAGAATTGTTATTATACTTTGCTTAGAAAAAAAGTTCTTACCTGTGCGACTTTATTATTTTGTGATTTGAGAACATTTAAAGTAGCATCCCCTAAAGAAATGCCCTCTAGAGCATGATCTACTTTTGGTCCTTCGATAATATTATTTTCTTGCATTTTATTACCGAACTCAACTATTAAACACTAATTCAAGCACTTTAAATAAAATGACTAGTATATTCAAAACAGGCGTTTTAAAACGTGCGAAATTATTACAATTTGCAATGACACTGCGTTAGAATGAGTATCAGCGTTTCGGCACAAAATGCACCTTATCTCAGGTGTTGTTCTTTATATTTCTAGTTATCAGTGAACTCATACATACTTGTATTATACTTATTTTATGGCTTACGTAAGACGCTCGTGTTTAAAGGTGTATTTGTTATTAATATTTTTAAAAAAGTTTTGAAAACTGAATTTAACCTTAAACTTTGACAATCACAGAATATATTTAATGTTGTGGTCATAGAAAAGTGAAGACGCGTTCATAACGATAAAGCCCTTTGAAACGATCATCTTTTATAATATTTCGCTCAGTTTCAGTTATTTTATTAAAATATGTATATATAATTTTAAGTACAAGTTTAATAATCATAATATATAATTTGTTAAGAAAAACGATCGAGTCAATGTATCTATTCAAAATCTTTAACGCCAATTTCAAATTTTCTGAAATAGGTACTCCCCATAAAGTGGATATTATAATTGAGATAAGACTGGCATTTTCAAAAATGGAAAATGTTTGGTAACTGCATTTTTATACTAAAGATTTTTATCATAATGTTTCAGAATCATAATAGACATTTCGAGTGGTATTACCAAAAGCTGTTTACTCATCTAAAGTATGTACTCGAAAGTAAAAAAGCTAAGCAAATATTAGGAGCACACTTTTTAAGATAAGCCTTATAAATCATTATCTAAGAACAGAATGTAGCTAATTCCAGATTGTATGTATGATGACAAAATTATAAAAATACGAAAATAAAAATTTAGTTCAATTTAATTTAATTTTTTAATTCGAAATTTTGGAATTATTCAGAAAGACGAATTGTGGATTATATGCTGTATAAGTTTTTGTGTATGCATGTATTCGTGTAACAAATTTCTCGAAAATGGCTTTACGTGGTTTTTCGTAAAATACGTCCCTCAGAATTTTATCTTTTTGGACCCCCCCTGCCCCTTTTATCACGCCAAGTCACACTTTCAGCGACCCCCTAACAAATATTACTTCACAAAAGCTAGTAAACCTCCACCCCTTAGTCGAAATTCACCTTTTATAATATTGTTTGGGCCGACAATTCGATTTAAAATGGTCCCATCTTTGGTACAAATCGTTTTCATACACTTTTAAAGGATTGAATAGGCTACTTGATAGGTAATTTGACGGCGATCAATACTAAAATATGCAACCCAATATACACCTTTACATCTATGATGCATAAATTAAATAGTGGGGTTTGGGGGACTTAATATTTGTTATGAATCGGCAGATTTTAAATATTATTTACATCCAGACCTCTTTTGAGTTTATGAGAGTTAATTTTGCCAAGATCTTTTTTAACAATACGGAAAGCGTACCTGTGCAAAATAGAATAAAACTGTGGTAAATTTAATTTTCTTTATAATTAAATAAGGAGCTTTAGGAACTATTCTGGGTCAACTTTCCTGATTTTAATTGGCTTAGCAGAGCCTATTCTTCTTTTTGGGAAAACAATTGGATCCATTAACAAAAACAAGGTTTATATAACACAAAATGTACAGATAAAGTTAATGTGCCAAACTATTAACTATCATAGTCAAAAAATGTAATTAACTATAAATAACCATCTAAATTTAGGAAAATAGTCACCTCACTATGATTTCTAAATACTTTTTTAATTTTCTCCAAAGGTAACTTCCAAATTAAATGTTTAAATATTTACGTTAAATAATTACATTCAAGTTTTTGGTCAAAAAATCTAAACTGTCAACGAGGATTGCAATGTTCTCCTTATTTGACTTCATAAGCGTGCAAAACCCCAAAAGAAACCCTAAAAAGCGAGTTGAGATAATATCCAAACACCGCCACATGTAATGCCATCTAGTGAGTATTTTCTACTACTAAAATATTTTTTAAAATTAAACTTTTGCCTTGTTAAAAAAAATGCAATTCAATAAATGCAACCTAAAATCTTCATTCAATCATGTCCTTAATAATTTTTTTGATTTTAAATTTTCAATTCGTCCTTAAAGCAGGAAAATTGTAGTCAGGATGACCCTTATAAATTTTATGGACGAGTTACTTATTTAATGAGACGCGTAGACCAAACCGCGTTAACACACCTGAAAAATTTTAAAAAGGAAACCGTTTTCCAGACGCCGGAAATTTTGGTAAACTGTGTACGTAACAACAGTCAGCTGACGATAATAATGAATACGTATATACATATAAAAAGGAGTGGAGCATGTTCGATATTGCTGTTAGTAACACGCATGCGTTTCTATTACGGTCAATAGTTTTAGTTTGCCTGGAGAATGGAGAATCCTTGCCACCACTTGAGACATGTCATTCCTTATTCACTCCGAGTTGTCCAATTTCTAATTTCAAGACAATCCGTCCTTTTCGATTCTATTTCAACAGGTTTACGGTTCGGATTTGTTTTTTTGTTTTCATTAAGTAAGTAACCACCACCTCAACGTCCCTTCTTATCTGAAACGGCTTGTGATTATCAACTTTCAAAGAACAACTGGATTGAAATAATTAATCACCGCCGGAACAAGGATTCTCGGCAGCTATTGCAGGAATTACACTAACTTTTAATAATTAGATAAATTGTCATGCCTTTTCACTTTATCCTTATATGTTAAAAGTAAGGTACCCTGGTGGAAAAAACTGTGAAAAAAATTATGGAAAACTACGAAGATTTATTTGAAAAGTTATGACTAATTTTGAAACAAAAGTTTTTTAAAATATCAGTTTCTTGTAGAAAACCGGGGAATTTTTATGAAAATAATATGACTTTTGAAGTATATTGCTATTTTAATACTGTAATTATTCAGAACTAAAATACTTTCATAAAAGAACTGCAGTGGACCCCGCTTGATCCTTTCGGAAACAATCAAACTGTTTGACATTTTTGGATTGTGGTAGTTCTCGATGTCTAGATGAAATGTACAGTCGTAAAAATTCATCTTTATAGCACCCATTGAAAGTTTTGATGTACACGTCGAGAAATACCAAAATCCAAAGTTTCAAAGAGTTTGACAGAGGGACATTATTAGTGCGGTCCTTTTTGGGTTTGTTGTAATTTTGGAGATCACGAGTTTTTTAATTCTGATTTTCCTAAAAAAATAATTCTCATTTCTAAGGAATACATATTCATATTTCTAAATTAAGTATTTCTAAGGACACAACATCATAAAGTCGTCAGTTCTAAGACTGGTTGAACACGCACTCCTTCCTATCCTGAGCTAATCTTCGCATTTCAATAAAATTAGAACATCCCAGTTACATAACTATTTGCGAACACTAAGCTAATCCAGGTCCATCTCTACTCCTCCTAACTCCTGTCTCTGCCTCTATTATGTCTCTGACTAGACCTTCATGCCTGAGAAGGTGTCCTATCAACCTATCTCGTCTATTTTTTATTGACTTCTTTAGAATCCTCTGTTCTCCTACACTTTCTAATACCTCTTCATTTCTAAAGACTAAAATAATAACATTCATAGCTTTTCACAATTTTATTTTCTATTTTCATGAAGTGACATTCCCAAACAAGAAGCGACAGAACGATCGATAAGAATATAAAAATGATCCCCATAACAGTGAGTGGTACCTTCATTCACTCAAAAACAAATAAATTGGTAAAAATGCTGTAAACGGTTATGTATTACAAGACAGCGAGAAAGAAATTATTGTTTTTTCGAAAATTGATCGAAAATGTACATGGTTCCTTTTTGTTGTTCAAGACCACAGGGAGTTCGCAATTATCCCATTGTAATCTCTGGTAATGTAATTTAAAGAAAGTCTCGGAAAAACTTTAATGGAAAAGGAATCGCGAAGTTCAACCGTTGTCGTTTTAATGACGGGGCTTAAAAAGTAATTACCTGTATTTTTCCCGACATAACTCAATTTATAGGTAAAAGGAAAACGTTCGGAAGCAGGATTACTTCTCACTAAAAGCTCTAGACAATATAAAATGTCGAAATTAAATTGAAGATGCTATTTTTATTCCATATGATCGTGCAATATGAAATACTGGAGACCTAGTTTTTACTATACATATATATATATATATATATTCGTATATTTTTCTGATTTCTAATTAATTTATAGATATCCTTGTTAACAGAATGCAATGCTACTTTAATATTTGTTTATCAAACAAAAATACAACGAAGGACTTTCAGCTGAAACGGTTTTAGATATCCGCTTCGTATCGAGGGATCCCATGAAGGGATAATCGATATTCAGTTTGTCCTTGTTTTTATTACCCATCAATTTAGTTGCTAAATTATAGATTGCACAGATTACTTTCTGAACCTCTTGAATTATTTATGATTATTTATGATTAGTGATAATTTAATTCATCATCGTCAGTGCGAAGACTAGTTGGACAAACACCTCCACTTTTTCCTATCCTAAGATAATCTTTCCATTTCCTTAAAACTAGAATATCTCACATCCTTGTCGTCATGGTAGTCTCTCGATTTCATGCCAGATTTAAATGGACAGTTTTATTGAAGTCCATGGTTCCACCCGCATGAACTATAATTAATCTTCTTCCCTTTCCAATAGGCTGTAGTAGTCCTGTTTTGTCATCATCGCTCCAGAAGTTTTTGTGGACATGATTGGAGCGAATTTACGTATCATCGGACGACCTTCGTGGCGGAATGTTCTCATTTCTCTTACGAAAACTATTCTCAAATGTCAAAATTTCCAAAAGTATTTTTTTTTGGTTTTGCTTTTCGTCCATTTAAAATCCATTTTATGCAGAACCTTCCACACAGTTGTATTTGAACCTTCATATCCCGTTTCTTCTTTATATTTACGATGTATCCTTTTCAGAGTTGGAACCATTTTCTCGGTTGCGTAGAAGTTGTGAATGATTTTCCACAAAAGATCTTGATCAAATTCAGGGTGATTTTGGACAGGGTTTCTAGAAGTCCTTATCTTAGTTTCTTGAATTTTCTCTTTTTCACAGTTGGGTTAAATTAACTGTTCGTTAACATTTCCTTATCATCATCATCATAAGGTCATCAGTCCTAAGACTGGTTGGACACGTACCTCCACTCTTTCCTGAGCTAAACTTCGCATTTCCCTAAAACTAGAACAGCCCACATCCTTAACTATTTGCGAACAGTAATCTAATCTAGGTCTACCTCTACCCCTTCTAACTCCTGTTTCTGCCTCTAATATGTCTCTGACTAGACCTTCATGCCTGAGAAAGTGTCCTA